AACTTGAAGAGGCGTTTGAGGCGTTTGGCTTTGGCAGGAGGAAAAGATTGTTAAACCTGATTGGAAGTCTCTTTCTTTACAGGCACAAGGAGAGGAACTCTCAGCGAGGTAAATCCACCTTAGAAAACAGGACATGAAGGTAAGTACAATATCTAAAACTTAGAAACTGAGTGTGGCTTGAACACTGCCAGAATGGTAAGATGTATCAGCGAAGATCTGACAGTCCGGCTGCCTTATAAAGCCCCAGTGGCTCATTAGGAGAATCTTCCTCAGCTGTGCAGAGGTGCAGGAAACAATGAGGCAGCCAATCATCAAACAAGAACACCAAAAAGCCAATCATAACAAATTGATRGGCTACTTTCCCTTGTAATGCTATGATCCACTGCTGTTGCCTCCTCATCAAGAGGAAAATGCATAAAAACTAACTACTCAATTGTATGTGCTGCTTAGTGGACACAACGGCACACAACAGAACTCRATACCAGTAGCTCACAGATGCTTCAACTTTTGTAACTTTTTCACGGACTAGTACTAGCAGCTAACGGTAAAAACATAGGCAGAAAGCAGGTAGTGGAAGGGAGGAGCATGGCAAGAATTTTACCGGAAATACGTCATTAATGACCGTGGCAYATAGGCTATTAGAGAAATYGGAYGATAACTAGTGGGTAATACAGGGTCTTTGCCTGGTTTCAATAAGAGACTGTTGGCCGAATAAATATGCTTTGGAAGTCTGCCTTGATACTCTGACTCCTCTAGCAGTCTGTGAAATATTGGTGCCAGGATATTCCAGAATTCCTTAKAGAATTCTGCAGGGAAACCATCAGGACCTGGAGCTTTATTATTAGGCATGCTTTTTAATGCTTCAAAGAGTTCAGCTGATGTTAGCGGGGAGTCTAGTTCTGATGACCGACTACTAGATAATTTTGGATGTGTTACATTTTCCAAAAAACTGATCAATATCCTCATCTGATGGATTTATTTCTGGGGTGTATAAAGTTTTATAAAAGTCTCTAAAAACACTGTTTATTTTTTCCTGATCATAAGTAATGTTCCCAGTTACATCTCTGACACTAGATATAGTTGTTTTTTTCCTTATGTATCTTGAGTTGGTTAGCTAAAAAGCTTCCTGATTTATTACTATGTTCAAAATTTTCTAATTGAAGTCTCTGTACCAAGAATTTGTTCGTTCTGTCAATAAGTTCATTTAATTCTGATTTTGTCTTCCGCCTTTTTTGTTCTATTTCCTCATTGTCTTCTGAAATGTTCTWAAGTATCCATTTGAACTTCCTGAACTAAATTATTATGGTGACWGTTTCTGCCAATTAAAATCATTTAAACTGAATTGTGCATCTTAAAATAAACTAATGGTTCATGTGCTCATTTCAYGTTGGCCTGGTGTAAAATATTCTCTAGAAACTGAATGGACTGCTGCCTGAACCTCACCTCAGTTTGATCAGATCRGTCATTAAAAACACAACATGAAACCGGAGAGAAGTTGTTTTGACTAATTTCTTTGAAACAGTTTTCAGTTCTTTGAAATATCACTATAATTATGAAAACATCCAATGCTAGTTCAGTGTTTACAAATAGTGTAAACTTGTGTTTTATGGTTAAGAACAAACTTATTGTCACATGTCTGACTTATCCTAGTMTTTAACAGCATTTATCATTGTGGATATTCTTGTTTTGGCTACTGACCTCTTTCTGCAGCTTCCTGGGTAGCAAGGGCAGAGTCATTTCTACTCACCTGCTGATGGTATTCTCCGAAGAGGCCCAAGGCAAAAGCACCTGACGCACAATCATTCCTTGCTGGAACATTCTGTGGAATTTTAATAACAGAAGTGATAGCTCTTTAATATTCTAAACTAATTCTCAGAATAACCGTGATTTCCCTGTGTGTATTTAAGCTACCTGTGTCTTTGAACTTCTCCTGGAACCAATTTACCTAGCTGTTGGAATTTACTTMCTTGGGCCTCCTCTCTGAATTAGCTCTGGTGCTCCATCCTGCCACACTCCACCATCTCATATCATCATACCCACCTTAACTTTGCTCATCACCTTCCTTGGAATCCTTTGCCCTTCCCTTTTTGAGCCTCCTTCAGTGGAGGATCATGTGCCTGGCTCAATTGTCGATTGAGGACGTCGAAAATGTTTGGATATTTGGATTAATGATAGCTGGATTTCTATCAATTGGAGGAGGTAGTTATCTGGGAAATAAAGAAAGTGCTAGTGGCTGTTCGTGTCCTGTGGAGACTGCCAGCCCTCTGTGATGGTTTATGCMGGGCCACCACACAAACTGAGGTGCTGGGGGTGATGAACTGTAAGCTGGATGCTGTCCTGGCAGACCGTAGACCAGTTGTGGCTCCAGAAACTGCTGGTGGGAATGCTTTTAGACTCTGGTGAAGTTGAGCCCCGGGTAAAGGTGAGGATCGACCAACAAATTCAGCTGACTGGAATTTTTTTTGCCATTGAGAGTTCCTGTGAGACTTTGAAATCTTCTGTCAGCTTGTTCTAAAACAATTGTGATTGTTGATTAGGCACCCCMTTTACCTGGCCTTGAGGGCTTGGTAATATCAAACTCTCCATSRATATTTTGTAGAGTGACGCTCAGCCYACCTCTCCCTCCTCCCATTCCTGTGTGTGAACCGGTTATCTGGAAGCATTCTGAAGGTCGCACAGATAAATGGTAAATGGACTGAACTTATAGAGCACTTTWTGAAGTCCCTCCAGACCTCAAAGCTCTTTACACTTTCAGACATTCACCCATGCACACACAAGCTAAACAATAATAACATCACAGAGAGTTCTATTCTGGGGCCAGTTATGTTCTGGCAAGAACTACTCAAAACACAATCCTGCTGATAATACTTAACTTGAAGGTATGTGATTATAATAGATGAAAAATTATTGCTTCATTTCAGACAAAGGTTACAAAAACTACCTTCACCTAAACTCAGAAAAGAGAGATTGTCTAATRTGTCTCAAAATCAACCTTTAAGACTTTACTGTTAAGTTATGTTTGAAATGTTTAACGATTATCAAAGGTTTTCATTTCAGCTTAATCTCAAGGATATTGTGATGTAATTTTTGTCAT